GGGGGGGGCAAGCTGGAAAGGACAGGGCGAGAGGGATGGTGGGAGATAAGAGGAAGCTCAATTGTGCCGGATCATCACAGCGGAAAAGCTCGGAAAGCCTCATTCTCTCAGTTCTTGCTTTTTACTCGTTTTATTTTTCTTCCTCTGCCCCGATGCCGTTTGTATCATCCTCAGTCACGAATACGATGGGTAGGCAAGAGGGGCAAAATAAGAGAGAGGAAGGGACGGGGGAGTGGGTATGATTAATTTTTGTGACGAGGAGAGGTCTTGCGCACGAAGTCTTCGCTGCTTTTTCTTCCCTGGACCCTGCATTGTCATAAAGTACCACCGGACCGTGGGCGTGGGTTTGACGACATGTAGTCGTAGTCTCATATATGTAGGCCTGTCTAATTTTGCTAGTGTCGTTCTTGCTTTTGCGAGGGCTAGTACTGGCACTGGTGTCAAGGTGAAGGCCATTTCCTCTTCTTTTTCCAGCAGAGTATCGGTCGCATAGTGTCAAGTGTGAGGCCTTTAATGGCCCCGCCAGGTGTATATACGCTTCTGCGCTGCGGGCGGAGACCGTCTCGTCACTGCACGCCACGACCGCGTACTGTAAAAATAAAATGATTTGACGTGAAGCGAATGTTGTAAAAATGAATCGGGGCCTATAAAAAAATGTCAAAGAAAATTTTGCCTGATCTAACCATGTTTGACCGAATGGCGCATTATCTACAGCAGTGGTCTTCCTTGTTCTTTTTTTCGCATGTCCCACTACAACCGACTACTCCTCCTATAATCTGGACACGTCAAGCTAGTCACCTCGTTTTTGTGTTCCAATCCCTTGAGGAAAGACATGCACGCCACTTCTTGTAAGTTACATTGATTGTGATGTTTTTCTATCACATGATGATAAATGCTTGAGAGATCCGTTTAACCTCGCGTTTAACATATTCCACCTCCACATTTCGGTTTTGAAAATAAAGCTAGAAAATAAAATAAAATATAATAAATAGATTTTACGGATGTTGTTATTTTGTACTATAGTTTTACGTGCTGGCCAGGAGTTGTCGTGGTTTGCGCACAGACCCCGGCCACCGTCCCCCAGCGGTGTCGGTGTCGCAGTGGTCAGGAACACAGCCATTAGCATCAGCCGATTCGGTCTCAGCGCGGGAACGACGGAAATTGGCTATGTCCGTAAAGCCGCGCCACCACAAAGAGAAAAACATGGAAAAAACACTGGAGCCAAAAAAATCTGAAACGACGAGGAATGGAACGTCTTGAAGCTCTATGTACTATGCTAGCTACCACTAATACCGTCAACCGTGTTCTGTAAAAAGGAAAACATAAAGACAGCAGCAATAAAACTCTGCATTTTGTTCGCTTCGAAGGACTTAAAATGAGAAAAACGAGAAAAAAAAACGCTTACTTTGGTTTTGGTACTCTTCTAAAATTTTCAACCCCCGGTCGGCTCTTGCGTGATACGTTCTGTGGTTCCTGAAAATATAGTAGGATTGTGCATGAACCCGTACGAGGACGCGGTGTGACAATGTCGTTGGGGGCCTCCAGGATGCGGCCCCGTGGCCCCTGCCCCGGCGTGGTCAGCGAGTCCGCCCGGCTCCCCAGCCGAGGCTATCCAGCGGACCGGAGCCTCGGCGGCGCGAACTCCAGGCGTCGGGTGGCCGTCCAGCAGCGCGCCTCGGCGGCTCTACTACTCGCTTCACTAACTTGTTTCTTTTTCTCACCGCTCCTCTTTTTTCTTCTGTTTCCAGGATGTGACGACGACTGGCTCCAGCCGCTGCGGCTCCGCTCACCGGAGGCCTTCTCCAGCCCTCCTGGGTCCCTCCGGGTGACCCCCCTCCCCTCCCCCGCACTCCTCCCCGCCATCATCACCGTCGTAATGGCGGCGGAGAGCTCGGCCCGGGCCTGCCCGCGGGCCCGCCGGTGACGCCGCCCGGGGATGGCGGAGGGAGCAGCACGGCCGACAGGTGAGCCTCACTCTGTCACCAAAAGCACACCTGCCATTCACGTCCACACGGCTCATGTGAGGCCTAGGTATTCACACGTTCCCTGCTGCGGCTCGTCTTTGTTTTGGTCCCCATGATTTAACATGGGAGTGCGACCACATAGTGGTCATGCCGTAGTGAACGTGTTAAGTCGTTCTTTTTAGCATATTACGATGCACTAAAGCACAAACACTTCACTAAACAGACGCATGTTCTTCAATAAAGTAAATGTTAGCTCGGCTAAACCGAGAACATTGGCTTGTGTGCCAATGCAAAATAAGTGCATTAGTTCAAATGAAAACTTTCTAAAAAGTCCATTATTTTTCTCTTTTTTTTCAAATTTTTACGGAAAAAATTCCATGGTGATAAGACGGTGCCAGTTACAATTACTAAAAAAAATCATATCGAAAAAGTATCCTCCTGAAAGAGACCCCAGCGACTGCAGTCTAGACTGCAGCCCAACTCCAGCGGCTTCAGAGGCTGGACTCGTCAGGCCGGCCCGGCGCGGTGCAGTACTGCGCGACCCATTCATTCTCCCCCCCC